TTGGATTCGGCATCAACCTACACTGAAGTGAAATTGATTGTCAGGTTGGTTTGGTTGTTCAGCACCGCCTCACTACTGTCTGTTTTTTTTTTTGAAGTTAGGGTTGAAAGCTCGAATCGACTAGAAATTATAATAGGTTGGTTTGGTTGTTCAGCTTCGCCTCACTACTGTCTGTTTTTTTAAATTTGGTTTAAAAGCTCGGATCGACTAGAAATAATAATAGTTTTACGGTAGTTCGTCATTCAGAGCACGAATATCGCGCTCCTTCGAAGTGAAAGACCCTGGCGCCGTTGCGTGTGACCAGAAGAACTTGGTCAGATCACAAAATTCGCTAGGAACTTATGACCACTGTTGCGTCGACAAAATTTAATCAGTGATTTCGGCCATTTGATCCCCCAACCCTCTCGCTTCCTCCTCCACCACTCTTCCTTCTGGATGTCTGTTTGGCTGTGTAGGCGAGTCATGAGCCTCCAGCGCTCTTCTTACGTGTTTGAAGTCTTGTGCAAGGGCGGTACCTCTATGGATCGTTAGACCTTCATGGAAGAGATTGGTCCTCTCAGTGCGCTTGGGGATTGTGCCATTACCATCTCTCATTATTATGGGGTCTAGGTACTGCAGCAACTAGAGGAGAACGTATACCTCTTTGGCGCTTGGACGAGATCCAATCAAAGAGGTGTACGTTCTCCTCTAGTTGCTACAGTACCTAGACCCCATAATAATAATGCTCCGCATTCCTAATAAGTTGCTCGTGAAGCTTACCTGAACAGCGTGGTGATACAAGGTTTCTTAGTATTACTAGTTCAGTTTTTTTCTGTTTCCTTTAAAATAATCCTTTGAAGAATTGTGGATAGTCTCGTTATAAAGCTCTAAAATTCGCTTGCAGGACATTCGATGTGGATTGTCGGCCGAGAACATCCGGCGGAGATCCACTGGACGTGCGGCTTCGATTTGACGACAGTTCGCTGCCAATTTCTGTTAACGATCTCAACGATGGCACTTATGAACTGTCCTTCAGGTAGATTCAGAACGAATGTTTGTTTTCTTGTTGTTTATTTTGGTTTCTGTTTTGTACTTTATAATGATTGTGAGCTTGCTCTCTACCGTATTCAGCGGTGCAATCCTTTCAGGGTACAACAGTCGGGCGATTATGTGGTTGACGTGGACATCTTTGGTCGTCCAATAAAAAATAGCCCATTTCCCGTCTCGGTTTCGTCGCACCATATGCCTAAGTGAGCCATTTTTTGAAATCATACAAAACTTTTCCTCATAAAGGAGGACACTTGGTGACAACGTTTCAAGTAACTTTCTGCTGATGCTGGCCTGGTCTAGCTGAGGAGCGCTCTTCGCCTCAGGCTGGAGTCTGAGTGCCGCTTTCCTTGGGCGAAGAGTCTTGCTCATAACCCAGCATTCCTTGAGAAAACTTTCCCGTGGAGGAAAGCTGCTAAAAATAGCAGTTGACGAGGAAAAGCAAGCCTTTTCTATTCGTCGTATACAAGAAAGTCGCTTGGCGACAACTTGGACAATAAACTGCTGCTAGATCTTGGTAAAATGTATTGGTGATAACTAAAATGCTTAGTTTATTGTATTGTTTGCAGATGGCAGTTGCCTGTCGAACTTCATCAGCCTGTCAAGGTAGCAATGAATGGAGATCATGTGCTTCATGTTCTCGATACTGGAAACGAAAGAGGTTGGTCAATTTACCTGTTGTGAGTTGGGAGGTGCCATGCGCGAGCCGAGCTACAATGGAGCATCGCCCTTGAGCAGTCAGATGACTCATTTTGTAACCAGTCACTGGTCCGGGTGTGCATCAGAAGACCTAGATTACAGCACCTTGCACATGTTCGAGCTTGTTGGTGGCATACCCTAGCAGTTGCGCGTCAAGCCATTCATATAATGCCAGCTACGCACAATACTGTTGTTTTACAACGTGAATTTAAAACGTCCACAATTTGTTTCATGCTTTCGTTTTTTCATGGTAGAGGTTTCTCATGATTTCCACGAAGATATGCAAAAGGAGAGGAGAATGAAGTGTTTTGGTAATGCATCTAGCACATTCCCATTCAGCACTAAGCCTTAAGCGAATGCGATTCGGGTTGGATAAGGTATCTCCTAAACGTCTACCGGTGTGGGTTCGCTGTGCCATCGCAATTGGGATTTTTTATTCCGCGGTATGTGGTGTATATGCCACTGACGGAGCAGCGACGACGCCATCGCATCTTGACTTTTTGACCCTCTTCAGAGTACACGAGTTGGTTTGAAATATTCTGACACTTAAAGGCACGCTCCGGGATTAGGCGCGCTCGCCTGTTCCATCCCGGGGTAGTAGACAGGCGGACAAGCGTTGATGTCGCGCCCCTTTTGCGCTTGAAAGTGCGCGACAAAGGCGCAAGGAGCTCGTCCGACCCGCAACTCACACCTTCGTCCGCAAGCCCCACCCTCCGCTGTCGGTTGCCACGTGGCGCTGCTTGAAAAGCGCGGGCGCATTTGAGGCAGCGGTCCCATTGCGACCCAATGTCATTGGCACTGGAGCAACTAGAGTTAGGTTCGTGAAACTCGTCCAACGCGCCCCTTCTCTATCCCAAGGTGGAATGCGGCTGAAATAGGGGAGGTCTCTGTGCGGGGCGTAATCGGTGGTTTCGTTTGCTTTCCTTCTCTTTTCCAGACCACCTCCCACCTCTAGCTTCATAACTGAACGCTTTTCCACACCTATTTTATCCCGAATCTTGCCTTTAAGCATCGCATACGTTCCCAACGATTGTAGCGGTCTAGTCAAAAAGTTACAGAGAAACTGTGCTTGGGTAGGAAAGGGAATTTTCTTTCCGTATCCCTGCTCATAACTTCGAGCAAACGTAAAACCAACTCGGTTGTAGGATGGCTGTGGTACTTAAAAAGGGAAACTTGTAGGGCAAGTTAGGATCTCTTGAGCGCAATTCTTGTTTGACTGACCGTCGTAATCAAATTTCCTTATAGGTTTGGAGCACTTTCAGGTAACGTATTATAATCTTTTCTTTTAGTGAGAATTGTCAAAGATAGCGGAGAAGTGGTTAACGACATCAAGGCGCCATGTCTGAACGGCGGCACGGCCGTTGGTATGGCACTTTTAAGTGGAGGTGACATGGCGATTCTAAACTGGAGGACGAAGAGCATCACGCGCCTGGGACCGAAAGGGGACGAGATACAAGTATGCGCGCACAGGCATTTCCTTCTCTTTTCTTGTGACGCATACCCTTTTTTAGAGCATCAGCTTCTCCGAGTTCAACGAGCCGATTGATCTTGCTGCTGATCATCGTGGGAGATATCTTCATAGCTGATGCGCAAAAAGTGGGCTCTTATATTGCACTTGACCAAACTGGCTGCGCTGATTCAGAAGTATAATAAATACTAATCCTAAATGCAGACGTGGCTTGTTCTTCTAATCTTAATTACGTTGCTAATTTCTGTTTTTTCCTGTTCCTCGCATAATCTCCGCTATTTTTGTTGTGTTCATTAAACGTATCATCAAAATATTGATATGAATCAGTGTGACATATTTTGCCTATGATCAGCATTCATGTGTCCGGCAGATGCACATGTCTTGCAGGTCTTTGTGTTCGACTCTAACCTGCGACCGTAGTTCAGCTTCCCCACTCGTGGTCAGACTGTCACTTCCGTAAATGTTGGCCTGGACGATGACATTTTAGTTGGAACAACACATGGACTCCTTTTATTCGATGGCGCTGAAGAATTCCTGAGGAGATCCTATTGCACCTGAGGAATCGACAAGTGAGTATGATCTAAGTAGTGAAGCAAAAAGCTGACTACGGTAAAAAGGCTTTCAAGGCCTTCAGTTGTAATCAAGCCGCGATTTGAAGAACACGCACTTTTGCCACCCTTTTTCAACAACCACTCAAGGGGAGTGTGTTGAAAACAAGGCGCTGGAAAAAGTGGGTGGTTCTTCAAAATCGCTTGATACAGAACTGAAGGCCTGAAAGGCTTTACCGTAGTCACTTTTTGAGACACACTCACCACTGCCTGCATTAAGATTTGGGAAACAATCCTTAAAGCGAGAGCATTGTGAGTAAGACTGCAAAAGGCGATACCCTGTCCCCGGTTTTGACGGCTTGCAAAGCCGCCAAGCGCTCCACTCACGTTCACCTACTATGGTCAGGTGGCCTCCCCGACAGTGCCCAAGTCATGGCAAGGTATACAGCTGCTGCAAACATCGCATCCATCGGGTTCGAGCAAGTTCCCACGTATTCGGGGTGTGGTGGGGGTCTGCTTTAGCTTACATGAACACGGTAAAGCATAAAGAGCAGGTGTCCAATAGAGTGTCTAATGAAGCCTATGCACAAAACTACTTAGTATCTTGACACCCAATCCCGAAATTCTCTGTCGATTTCTCGATCATCTATTCTCATCTGGGTCGCTACTTTGGTGAAGCTCTACCAAAATATGCGAATAGTCGGCTCTCCTAATATTTTTCCTACATAACAAGTTGCATGTTCACGGCATTCTAACCGGTTCCGTCCTATGAGAAGAGCACAAGCTACTAAGGTACGAAATAGGTTGAAATAAATTCCGCAGATTTGTGATTTTAATTTTGTTTTACATCACGAAAGTTTACTCCGAATTTTGTCTTAAGTTACAGGGGTCGTATAATGGTGTCGACATGTGCAGTCTGTCCTGAAAGTGGCCTCGTCATCGCAGGAGTTGTAGATGCAAAGACAAATAAAGCACAATTAGCGGTGAGGATTTCGTTTAAAATTAATCTGTTATCCTCTTGTAGATGCTCTTTTCTATACGAATCATATTTATCAGTTTACCTACATATGCTGACGATGTGCATCACATGAAGCCTATAAGTAGAAAAGGGATTTTCGAAATCAAAAGGAATTTCTGCTCTCAGCACCGCTCACCTCAGCAAACTCGTTCATGCCCAAGCATTTACCTGTCCTTATTTGACAAACTCTATTAATTATTTCCCGGTCTTGAGTGCTCTCGGTAAAATTCCTATGTCCAACCCGAAGGCAGTGTGGGTTGAATTCAAGGTGGTCGCTAAGGGTATACTAATAAATATCTTGCTCTGGATATCAAATCTCACCTTTCCATTCACCCGATGTGAGTTTACTAGGGATGCTATACACGCTAATAATCATTTGAGTAATGCTTGAGGGCATCCCAGCGTTTGGAGTATTTATGGGCTGTTTCGGTCCATTCAAGCTGCGTCGAATCCATGCCAGATGATTTCACATCGTCCTCACCATCAGCCCGAATATGACTTTGATATTTTCTGATATAACCTTCAGTCTTTCAAAAACAAGTCATAACTCCTGGGTAACGGGCACAACGTCTCTACCAAGATCGGTATGCGCCACTCTTCAAAACTGCGCCATTTTGGCATACCCGCTTCCTCTCACTGCGGTTTTGAATTATGTAAAAAATAAAATTTTTGACAGAGGGTGATTTTCAACTGAAGATGATAATGTGATAGTTTAATGTTTGCAGATTTCTCGCTACAAAGGAGCGTTTGTGTTCTACATTGATTCTTATGGTGCTCGTCTACGACGTCCTTGTGGCGTGTGCGTTGGCACAGGACCTAGAGCTGGACAATGCCTGATAGTCGACCACGCGTCGAATTCTGTCCGAATGTATAGGTTCAAATAATGCTCTGGTAGTCCAACATTGAGGCCAGTAATATTGCTTTTTCTAAGCAACCTTTTACATATAAGATGATGTCAATGTAAATATTACGTGGGTAACTGAGCCGTGAACTGAAGAATGAGTAAACAACTTGTACATATCATTAAAAGTAAGAGGATTTCCTGGCGAGGAAAACAAAACTGCCCCTCGGCATTTTGCTCTTCTTGGCCCATCACACTGCAGTGCACGATTTCCAAACTGAATGCAAGCTTACGCAATTATGCGAATCAACGATCCTTTTGAGTTTCGTAGGCAACGAAGATGGAACTTCGTAAGTGACGTTTGAAATATCTTCGACTCTGCCTTACAAGCATGAGCCAAACAACTTGATACTTCCCAAGTCGGGCTCTCTTCACAGGCGTTTTCGCGAAACTTCTCAGGGCTACCAAGGAGTAAGATTTGGCAGAATTAGGCGGTTGCGCGTATGTGGCGGAAGATTGATCTAATGAGCTGAAACTTTTTACCATGTGGCGTGAAGAGTGCCTTCTCATGGTGTTGTAGCGCGTCCAAATCTACGCAATCGTCGTTATCCAAGTGGAGCATCGAGTTTTCCTTGATAAATGAAAGGGAGAGCGGTGGTCAACTTGGGATAAGGTTTTTGTTTACTAACTTACTAGTAGATCTGGTATTCATATTTCTTTACTCTTGTTCTACCATGTACGCCGAAAAAGGGTTAGAAAAAATGTGCACAACTCAGTTGCCGGCGTAATGATCTTCCTGTCTCTTCCTGTCCTTGTCTCGATTGTATCCTCCGATTCAGACTGAGTG